TTGTGAGTAAGGTTTTCAGTTTTCGAGATCGGGATCCCTTTTTGAAATCCCGAGATAAGAACTATAATACTTATTAATACCGGGATTGACTATCAGAATGAGAAATATAATCTAAAAAATACTTAATAAAAATGCAGCTACGTATATAGGATGCCCCAATATTCCGTGGACATAGAACTAGTTTGGAATCAAAATAAGATATTTGTACACAATTTACCTCTATACAAAAGTGCTGCATTTGTCCGCTAGAGGGCATGAGTTCACTAGAGGGCAGGATATTTTAAGAACCGATATTCCGATTTGAATGAAATTTGGGGTATCTATGTTTTGTTAGGTAAATTGGCTAATAGGCTATGAGGTAAATTGGCTAATAGGCTATGAGGTAAATTGATTGATAGATTGATACTTGATTCCAAAAATAAGCAGTAGTTCTATGTCCACGGAATATTGGGATACCCTGTATATCAAAAAGAAATTGAGAAAAGAGCTTTATTAATACAATAGCACGCGTATATAGCGTTTAACGCCTTGGAAGTGGCAATGTACAGCTTGCTATGCTAGAGCCGTTCAGTATACAAGGTAATGTGGCTAGCGCTACGCTTCAACCGCCTATTATTACCTCAGGATTGTGAATCCCAAGTACTCATTTAAGGCTGAGTCGCCCTAGGTACCCAAACTATTTTTATTTTAATAAAAATAGTCGGCTGATGAAATGCCGAATGTAGGATTCGAACCCACAACCTTTAGATTTGTAGACGAGAGCTGTACCTCTACGCCACCGGGCACATTAAAAGAGCTTTATTAAAATAGACAAAACAAAGTAACATTCATAACTATTTAGTAAGTAAAAAAATACAATTCTTGTTGCAAATAAAATAAATCAAACACTCGTGAACTATAGTATGAACACTGAAATATAACTTTTAGATATTGACGTTCTGGTTAGTATAAATAAAATATGATCTTTAACACTAAAGCGTCGCCGAATCGTTTCAGATTAAGCATTTAAATAATTTTTTCGAGATTTTCGGGATCCCGGGATTTAATATCGGCATTTCGTGTATAAAGGGAATGCAATCCCGACTCGAGATCGTAAATTCGAGATCCCGCGAAATTGATATTTTCAATCCCGCGGGATCCCGAAATTTTCGGGATCTCGTCTAGTCATAAAAAAATGTAATGTTCGGATGGCTGAAAACGATGAAAACTGCTTGTTTGTGATAGTGAGGTTAATTAAAATAAAATATTTTTTGAAAGAAAACAAAAACCTTTATTCTTCAATATTACTAACTAAATAATTAAGTTTTCTTTGGAAATTAGCATAATAAAAACCAAAATTATAACTCAAGATTAGGAAGTAGTTACGGGTGCTTTTGAAAGTAGCTACGTAAAAAACAAAGTGTACTAAGAGTACCGTATGATCGAATAAAAACGGCGTCAGCGACGGCTATGAAATAAAGATCGCTGTCATTTTATATGTAAAATTATATGGGAAATGTCATCGATCGCCATTTCCAAGCCAACTGGACGCCATTTTTTTTCGATCATGCGGTACTATCTGCTAAACGGCATCTAATGTCCGTTGCAATGTACCCAGCTGATGAGAATGCCCTCTCCGACTCAACACTGGTTGGCAACAGCGTGACTAAACAATTATATGCAAACTGCAAAAATCTCCCCCTTGTTCCTCCACACTCAAATAAATCCATTTCTTTTTTATGACTGACTCTAATTTGTCTAAGCTCGTCGATACACGTGTAAAAGGACTTTTAGACGCTTGTAGAGTTTCTTCTAGTTCCGCTTGATGTATTAGTTTGTGCAGCAATCAGGGGCGGATACAGAAATTTATTTTAGGGGGGGGACAAATAAAAAATAAAGCAAAATATGCCTTTTAGGGCGCCACTTTTAAACCAAAAACCTAATATTTAACCTAATTTACAGATTTTAGGGGGGGCCGGGTCCCATGGCCCCCCCCTCTGTATCCGCCACTGGCAGCAATAGCACGTAAATTCAAATCCTCTGCAATCATAGAGAGAGGCAAGTCACCTTCGTTTAATATTGTCGTATTAATCTCTGCTTGGTTTGCTTCTTTATGATATAGATAATCGTGTGATTATATTTTTAATTTCTTTCCTTATAAGATATTTGCTTGGCAATTGGAAGGCCTCGTTAGCTTTCCATTGCTCCAAGTCATCTTGATAATGATTCGGATTTTTCAATTATAGCAGCACAGCAGTTTGCTTTCCAGAGTGGATGTGTGTCGCTTTGCTGACCACTGCCGCCCAATCCCGTCAATCTCGGACGGGATCTCGTCATATTAAGCTTCGTGATTGATCCCGAAAAATAAGACGAGATCCCGCGAGATCGGGATTGCATTCCCTAGTATAAACATACACCCGGATTTCGGGATCCCGGTTTGGAAACCCTATTTCCAGGTATGCCTATAAGGGAGATCGATAAGTAATAACACCTGATAACTTCTAATTTATTTGAGTTTAATTTCTTTTTTCCTATTTTTATTCCGAATTTCTAGGTATATCTATATTTCTAGGTTTATCGATATTGTCATAAATTATGTAAATACGCCATTTTATTACAACAAAATTGAATAGAATTTATAAGAAACGGTGTCATTTGATGTGCCAACAGTTATAGTTGCCTTTACCTCTTTACCATTGTTATATTTTTATTAAAATGTTTATTAATACACTACTGAAATAAATTGTTTAGCAATTGGAATCTAATAGACCCATAAATATGAAAATATAACAATAATACACAGATAAATTAGACAAATTTAGTAAACGGAAATATATATTTTTTTCTTTTCAGGCAAGAAATATTCTCGGAATAAGCTGGAATAAATAGACCTCGTAATATAATTGTTAAAATTTAGACCTTTTTCAATTTCTGTTGAATAAATTTATTTTATTGTTTAAACTGTTTAATTTTTCACACTATCAACAAACAAAACAAAAACAAGGTTCAATGATACAATATAAAACATTTTCTAAAATCACTATAATATTCATATACAAATTATTTTAGATTCTTATTCTAACAAATAGCAAGTTTCTACATATAGATAAAGAGAGGGAGAGAGAGAGAGATAATAGGAACACTGAAAACAGACATGCTATTTATACATTGCAACGTAAGTATATAACATCATATATTTCAATAATTTGGAAGGCACTTTATGTAAACCATACCTATAAGTAATACTTCTATAAGGCTAGTATATAATAACATATAACACAATTCATTCACTAAGGTTGTGAAATAGAAAACTGTATTTAATGGGGACAGCAACCGATTGTATATCACATTTATACTACTGTTGGACGTTTTTTAGCATCAGTGTTAATGGTAAAACGGTGAGTGTTAACGGTAAAAATGCAGTCGTTAATTATTTAGATGGTAAATTTTGACTTGAAAACGATAACATTATGTTGATATACAGGGTGGTCCGAATTGTATTCGGAAAACTTTGGCAGATAAAAATATGTAAAAAAGTGCGTAAAAACTTACGTCCTAAAATGCTTCGTTTCGGAGATACAGGGTGTAGAAGTTTCATTTTTATTTCTATTTTTTCCAAATAATTTCTTAACTCACGTCGATATTTGGATGAAAATTGGTGTCTGAGTATTTTTTGACTTGAGCAATTTGATTTCGATGTCACTATGACTCCTACTTGTAGGGGGCGCCATCTACATGTTTTTAACTGATTTGAAGAATAATAACTTTTCGTCCGTACCTGTATACAGTCTGACAAATGGATCTGAAACAACGGGGCAACGGCAAGGGGATCGCAATTTTCTAAAATCATGACCGATTTCATTCATAAAATATCCACGAGCGTGCGGTGTTTCATAAAAATATATCAGGGATTTTTATAATATTTTCCAGTAAAGTTTATAATATTATTTTACTTTAAATGTACCTACATTTTGTTTAGTCATTTGCCAAATATAGTAATATTTGTTAAAACGCGTGTACTAATTATAATAAACACAAATCAAGTTAAAGATACAAAAAAATACAATACAATAACACCGCCACTGGATTTTTCAATAGTAGTGACTGTTTCTACTATTCCTAGAGATGGGCATAAAGTTGGGGGTAATTGCGACAAGACGTGCGAGAATCTCGACCAATCAGACTGGTTGAATCTTGGATGCCATGATGAATTTTGTCAGCGTTGCCAGCTTACCCTCAGCGGACGTTATCTTAAGGAAATACTTTACCTTTTATAATAGGCAGAATGAACGAAATCAGTTAATTAGATAAATATACATTATTACAATAAGAACTACGTCAACATATTAGCATATATATATATATATATATATATATATATATATATATATATATATATATATATATATATATATATATAAATTATGTATGCTGAAATGAACTAAAATATATTCAATTTATAGGTAATATCGAGCAACTTTGCTTTTCTATAATTAAACTTGACAACATCGACTTTTTTTGCCCGAATTCCTTCTGCTGTTTTAGATTCGTTTGTCAGATAATAACAGTACTGAGTCAAAAAATATACATATTTGTGACTTTTTACGTAAAAAATGTCTCTTGGTAAAAATCGCTACGAGCAACCGTTCTCAAGATATTTAGAATAGAAATAGGCAATACATGTCATTATTGACAAAAAAAAATAAACACGTTGAGAGTAGATAGTTATTTGACCGAAATAATAAATTCGGGAAACTTTTTTTTTTTAAATTAATCATAAAATTTTCTGCGGAGAAAATAATGATAAAACAGTTTCTGTCGAACTTTTGACACAAAAACATTTCAAATTTATGATTTCAGTCTAATAACTACTTAGTCAACATGTATAATTTTTGTCAGTTATGACATGTATTGACTATTTCGATTCCAAATATCTCGGGAACCATTACTCTTAGCAATTTTTACCAAGCGACCATTTTTATGTAAAAAATGACGGAAATGTATATTTTTTCACTGAGTAATGTAAGGTACGGACGAAAAGTTATTACTCTTCAAACCAGTTAAAAAATATGTAGGAAATAAAATTTCTCATGTCAAAAAACACCCAGGTACCAATTTTCATTCATATATCTATGTTAGTTTAGAAGTTATTTAGAAAAAATCAAAATAAAAATGAAACTTCTACACCCTGTATCTCCGAAATAAAGCATTTTAGGAAATACGTTTATAAGAACTTTTTTACTTATTTTTATCTGCAGAATATGCTGCCGAAGTTTTTCGTATACAATTCGGACCACACTGTATATTTGCATAATTATTGTATGCATCGTTGTTAATTCTATGATTATTTATTTTGTTGCCGTCCCTTAATTCTTTCCTAGCCTTATAGGAGTATTACTTAAATGATGTAAACGCTATCTATGTAGCCTAACCTAACACTGCATAATATAGGATTGACATTTTTATACAGCACAAAAGACTCACTAACAAAAGTAGTCTTCTTCTTTCAAATACGAAATCAATGTGAGGGGTAAACATAAGTTTTCTATGTTGTTCCACATAACGTGCTGTCTGATTACGAATCGGGAAAGGCTTTGTAGAGAACGAACTTTTTCGAATCTGGAAATGGGTTTGAGTAACCTAACTGGAAAATTGGGCTGTTCGCCTTGACTTAACGTGTAGCAAAACACCCCCTCCCTCGATTTTTCCATGGCCTTTTCTATCAGCTCCACAACTAGAGAATATCCTTCGTGATCAAACAATTTGTAACCAGTCCATGTGTAATCTATTCTGGCGTGGAGCGTCTGTCCCACACTTCGAAAGCTGATAGTGAAAATGTGTCTAAAAAGATTACCAGTTATAATAAATATTAGCCTGTACAGGGTCCTGCAACAGTACGTCGGACATATGTAGGTCTTAAAGAAAAAAATTAGGAATTTAATAAATAAATGAAAAAAATATATACAGGGTGGCGCCTCTCATTTTGTATTGAAATGAAATTTTGTGAGCATATGTAGGTTAATTTAGAGAACTTTTAAAATATAGAGAGTTCTACAGGGTATCTCCAAAAAAAGTTACAGATCAAAGTTGTGTTTTTTGTAATGGCACACTCTTTACAGTATGTCGCCAGATTGTGAGGTAAAAAGTTTTTTTTTTACAAGAGGAAAAAATTTTATATTATTGAAAATAAATGTTGCAATAATAAAAATTACACTACCTTATACAGAGTGTCTAAAAATTAAAAACAGATTTTTATCTAATTATTTAAAACTATTTTAAATAATTACTAGCTTTAAACCGCAATAACTTGTTTAATTTAAAACACCCTGTATATTTTCAGAAGAAGTATAATTTAATTGTCTATCAAATTGTATTATACCATTTTTTACCTATCTCTTCAAGTTTCCGTAGAAAATGCATTTCCTTATAATTTAGACCTCATTTATCAATATACCCATGGAATATTGACATTTTAGATTATTTTTAAAAATGTAACAAATCTTTAAAGAGTACATATACTAACATTGTTGATATAGTTCTTTTATTTCATTAAAAATAAAAAAAACTGTTAAATATTTGTTAAAGAGCATCAATTAATATGATTCATAATAATTGCTCCAAATACTAAAAAACGTTTTTAACTCTATGGAAAAACTCAATTTTTAACTATATGGGAAAACTGAATTTTATATGTGTATTAGACAGTGTGGTAAAAAGTAAGACCTTAAAAATTTTAAGAAAATGCATTCTCTACGAAAACTTGAAGGGATAAGTAAATAATGGTATAATACAATTTGATAAACAAAAACCAACCAAAACCTGACAATTTGCAAAAATCTAATTGTTTAGCTACAATACTCTGTGTCCTCCTAACAACGCTTTATATATTTTTCAGTCTATTTAAAAGAATTATCAAAAATATAAGATGTGTCTTGAAACCAACACCTGAAAAAAAGTGTGTTCAAAACTCCTTGCCAAATTTTCTATATTATAAAATAGTTTCTCTCGTTTTTTATTCAATGAAACACCCTGTATATTATTTTTTTAAGTGAAGAATTAAAAATGATTTTTTTTTGTATTTAAGGTTTTTTTTCTTTAATACAGCTCTTGCAACGGTAGAATCATCATTAGGTAGCTTTGCATTATTAGGTGACTGATGAAAATTTACTGTTGAAAGAACTTTAAATACAACAAAGAAAATACTTTAAATACAACAAATATTAATTTTTTAACTCTGCATGGAACAAAAAATAATATACAGGGTGTTCCGTTTAAAAAAATCAACATCTATACTAATATATAAAATCCTTAAGTGACTGACATACTGATTAATCACGATCCTGCTCAAACCACTCAACTAAAAACGTTTCATAAAATATGACCATTGAGTAATCACGATTCTGCTTAAACTGCTTGATGTTTAAAGCTGATTTTTGGCAAACGGATTGACTGTGGGGTGTAGAGGTTCGATAAGGAGGGCTTTCTCGAATCTCAAATTCCAAGAGGGTGAAAACGCCCCTCAAATATTACAATATTTGTTATTTAAAAAACGGTTAGTCTTTCGGGAAAACGCTTGGACAAGCATAATTTATTTGTTTTTACATATTTTGAAATTTTATAAAATCATACAGGGTGTTCCAAAAAGTTGGGTAATTTCTTAACCACGAATCTGCTTAAACTGCTTGACGTAAAAAGCGTATTTTTGGCAAAAGGATTTTTCGAAAGTCAAATTCCAACGAGATGAAACTACCCCTCAAATATTACCAAGTTATATAATAATATCTCCATATTGTTTTTTCTCATGCTGACATAAATGTGAAAATTTTTTATCCAGTTTGTATGTTAATGGAAATTCTTGCTTTGCTTTATCATCACCATTACAAATGATTAATTCGACGCGAACGAAGTCGCTGGTAGACGCTAGTTATTTTATATTTTAGAAAGTTTCGCGTGGATTTTTGAACACCTTGTATCATTTAAAATAACGATATTTACAGCAAAGTAAGTACACACCAACTATAATAAATATCTAGTATAGTTTTGATTTCAGGACATTTGTTGTATTTTTAATATCTTTTTTAAAAAAGGCTAAATAAAATTATATCTTTTTTTATTAAAAACTGAAATTATATTATCTCTGAAATTATCAAAATCAATTTGATAGTATCTTAGGATTATATTATAAAGTGACCAGAAAGGAAGCCAAATATGCAATAATATACAGGATATACCATTTAAAAAATACATCCTTATCCACTCACCCTTTTTTGAGCCACCCTGTAGAACTATTTTCATGAAATTCATCCTAGTACATACTTTAGGTTTGCACATAAACAAAATTCCTAAGAATTTATTATAGGAGCTACAGATGCCCGACTCAATGTTGCAGGAATCCACATAGTCTAAGATGATTAACCTGTCTGACGCAGAGTCTCTGACTAGGAACGACCCGTCCGGTGCACCGTCGAGTTTGGCCTCCACTTGAGTTTTTGAAGCTGGGCCCCAATACCAAACGCAACGAGACAGAGTATATGAATTGTTTCTTATATTGGTACAAGTTTCCGTTCTAGGAGCAGAATAAGGAACATAGGGATAATTGTTTGGAATATATTCTGTGACATTTACCTACAAAAATATTACAGAAATTAAAGATTTCAACTTGATTTAATATACCTTGTTACCTGTCCCTGTATCTGCTCACTTTTTTGATGCCTTATCTGAATAATGGAAAAATAAATCATTAAAACTAGTTAGACATAATACTATACATATAATATAATAGAATGTCTACTTCCAAGTTGTACCATTGAGAATAATATATAAGAAACATAGAAAAAACAAGAATAAGTCCAAATGGTGCATGTCAAAGATAATACAAATTACAAGAGCAAAAAACGATAAATTAAATTTGGAAAGGAGCAACATTCAAAATTGAGGATAAACTCAGTTCTCCTCTTTTAAAACTTTTAGTTAAGTCCCTTCTACATCTAATGTTTTGCTTGTCATTCTTACCTGTTCAACAGAATTAGTTATGCGTGTTTACAAATTAAATTTAAACTATAAATTCAATTTTGCCAAAAAATTTCATGTTTTTTCTTTTCAATTTTATTACACAATGCTATAATTGATAAAAGCCTTATTCAAAGATAAAAGCAGTGCTAGCTCCTATGTACAAGCAAGGTAAAACTTTGAGTGTGTACGCTAGTCTTCTTCTTTATAATCTGTCTTACCTGACACTGACAGGTAAAACCTTTGTGTAGACGGGACTTTACAAAAGGAAGACTAATTATGTTTCAAAAAAACATAAACAAAGCAAAAAATTACTGGACATCACAAAAATACTTACGTCAGAGGCTGGGGCTTGTTTTGTATTTTTAGAGAAACAGTTTTTCATTCTTGTATGCCATTTCCTGAGACTTCTTCGAAAATTACTGTCGTGTCGTCTCATTTGAGCTGACCGAGTGTCGTCTAGCGAATTCGTCGTCACGCTCCTTTGAATCGGTTGCTCGATTTGAAAATCGCTAGGGCTCGATCTTATTTGACTAGCGTCACTATCCGAATTACCGGAACTTTTAAACATTTTCATGTAGCGCAAGTGACAAAGCCAACTTTTGGTTCTATTCGAGGAATTCTGCTGATCCATATTAAACTTTAAACCTATGCTTTAATCATCACTGTATCACGACGAAAGATAAAAATTAACCGAACAAAACTAATATAAGGTCCAAAATATATATAGAGGCCAAACCTGGCTAAACTATCAACTGCATTCTGCATGCATTACAAAATATTTTTAGTAAAATGGTAATTAGTCATTAACAAACTGATTAAATTTTTGTTTTTTTTTATGAGCTCTTTGCTATTTTTTAAATTGTCAAATGTCATATCATAGTCAAAGAAATGTCATCAGAACATATCATATATAAAAAAAATAAATTTTAATATTTCCTCTGTAAAATTGGTGTAAAATACTGTAATAGTTTAAAGATGAATTATCATAACATCTCCTTTTCGCTGGTAAGGCTAATCTAGGCGGAACCCAGAGAATAGGTACATTAAAGCGGAACCTATTTTCTTTATGCGTAAAACCCTATTACTGATGGTCTAAATTATATAATTTGTATGTGAATGGTTAAGATCCCACAAATAAAAAAGAAGATATGAAAGCCTAACTTCAAGGTGATCATGTTTTTTGTTTAGTTTTGACTTGACGTTTCCCGGTTGACAAATAAATTGTGATGTTCTTTTTGAGTTATTTAAAATAATTTTAATTTCTTAACATATTATTTGAACATTATGCTTCTGCATAACTTCATACGGCACGTTTTACACGTGCAAAGTGATTTTGCTTGTTCTACGGCGCACATAATGGAATTTCAAGCGGCAGAAAAGTACGTCCAAAGAGAAGATCGGAAAAAAAGTACTCTCGTAGTATTTCCAGTTTTCGAAAAATAATTCGTACCAATTTGGCCCGGTTTTACCTACCTGCCTTTTTTTGAGGTTTTCGGAGTATACCTATCGACTGTGGCTATCATAAAATATAAGAAAATGTAATTTCATTTGGATTATTAAATATTCAATTGCTGCTATAAATGTTACAGGAAATTATTTAAATGCCGGCAACTAATATTCCAGCTTAAACTTCTGCTGGATTAGTTCAGTCGTTTAAAGAGTATGTAACGCTCAACAATTAAAATATTGTACGTTCTGTTCGAGAAATATTAAGTAAAACACTTTGTGTACACGAAAATTTGTGGATTTGATTTGATTGAAGTGTTAAATACAAGAAACTATACGATGACGAATAATACTGCTCAACCTTTAACAAGCAAGGTAAGTTTTTTGCATTTTTTTTTGAAATCATTTTTCTCCAAAAAAAACTTCATATTTATATAAAAAATATCAACAAAACAATAAAATTGTTTTTCTTTTATTTCTGAACATATTCTTCACTAAATATATTGATTGGTTTATACCAGAATGCTTGATTTATTTTAGTAGATATTTGGGGATATTAAAAGAAAATAAATATTTTTTAAATAATGTTTTGAATAAAAGTTGTATTTTTTTTAAATGTAAATCTTTCTCACAAAGAAAATCTTTTTTTTATGCTAGTTCTATTAATTTTTTAAGATGGAACGGCAAATCCCTTTGATATCTTGCATCTATTGCAATGTGTCCTTTACCGACAAGATGGATTTGAGAGCCCATTGCCAGACGGAAATGCATGAAATGATGATAATGTCCGACGATGGACATGATTGGTTCTGGCGTCCTCCACCGAGAGGATTTAAATCAGATACCTACATGCTATGTCAGAATTGGAAGGAAACCGGTTCTTGCAGGTATATAATTAGAGTGTAAAATATATATTTCAAAGCTTTGCCTATACTGATGGAAATATATGTAAATTTCCAAAAAATAATGTGGGTATAAATAAATAAATAATCATTTACTGATGCAAATGCCACAATTGTGGCTAACACAAGTCAAATTTTGTTTTTTATTTATACAGTATAAGTACACAAACAAGAAATCTCAATACATTTTTACAGCATACAAATTAAGAAAAATAAACAACAACTATAACAATACTACACTTAAATTAAAACCTCTAGATGATAAGAGTATATTAACTCTTGTCTTGTGTGTGTGTATGACTTGACCATCAAATAGTTTTTTACTGTCACTAAACTGCTTTATGGGGAGCTTCCGTATTTTCTCTGATAAGCCCTTAAAAAGTTTGGGCTGTAGTAATTACTACTATCTGCTACCACCTCGTGATTTCCTAAGTCTGTGGTACCCCAGACACACCAGGTGAGATGTACTTTGTTTTGTTTTATAAAATTAGACTCATTTTGTTTAACAAATTTACAGTATGTATATGTTACAACATCATTAGTAAGTGACTTTTACAAATCTTATATTTTTGCATAGTTTCACAAAATAATGTAATTTTGCAAAATTGAGATATTTAATGATTATTACCAAACAAGATAACTTTCAAATTTAGCTTTGCATGTTTACAAATGAAATCTAAATCGTAAATAGAATTTTGTAGTAAAATTACATGTTTTTTCGTTTTAATTTTACTAATTTACTAAACACTATGGTTAATTGAAAGAATTGTGAAGACGCAACCTAATGGGTGAAGAGACTTGAGAAAGACATATACTGTCGAAACGTCGTCATAAAAATAAAATATTGAACAAAATCTAGTAACATCTTTGCAACCCCAACGACCTAAAGCCAAGAATAAAAAGAAAAAAAAGATATAAATTATTAGATATCTAGTTAAACTAGCTACTGTTTTAAACATTGCATTTACATTAAAGCTTTTTTTTGTTAAATAACTGATAATAACATAAATAATCTGTACTGTTGATGCAGATTTGGTGTGCAATGTGTTCAGGCCCACGGAGCACAAGAACTTATAGAATGGAAGGAGAGGTTTCATTACAGAGAAATGAAATTGCAAAGAGCCAGAGAAAAGGAACTTTTTGGTAAGTGTTATTATTAAACTTGGGGGAAAAAGTTATTAGTTTGAATTATTATAAAACAGGTACTTTTTCGCCGTTGTAACAGAAAATCATAGATGTAAGGTGGGCGAACCATGGAAGGCCACTGTAATGAATAAATAGTTTTTATTAGTTCGTTTACTTCATAAATGAAAGAAACGAATCTTGTTTAAAAAACTCAATGAACATACTTTGAACACAATCGTATAATTAAGAATATATTAATGGAAATTACAGTAATGAGTATTATATTGATTACAAATAAGTTGCCAATGCGTTTTGGAATTAAATTACAAAACAAAAAAATTACCTATAATGACATTCTTATGGATTTGTTCTTTGTAAGGCCAAAATGTTTCTTTAGCTAAAAAGTTGAATAATCCTTATAAATAATAATATTATAAACATAAAACATTGTTTTAACTTTCCCGGTAAGTATTTATAACTTAAAATTAAGTGTTCATGATTTGTAAATGTTTCTAGTAAGGCCCATGTACCCTAGCAGGAAAACAAACATCAAATTTTTGATTGGCCTTATAAGGAACCACCGGCTTTCATAGGTGCACTACCGATATTTTAACTGAAATCAAAGCAAAATTATTATTTTTTTTCTTTAGTACTAATTACTTTTAGTATTAATATTAAAATAATTTAATACAAATTCTTATATGACAATTCACATTAAAAAAAATAAGATAATAATAAATTATTTACATAAAAACTTACCTTTTCCTGTGCGCGCGAATTACAATTTTAACATTGACAGAATAGCGAGCACAAACAAAATAACTTTAACAAAATAGCGAGCGTCTGTTTTACTTGAGTTTAATGGGGCTTAGTGTGAGTGGAAGGAATTTGTCATCGCATGACAATAACTTAGACTTTTCTATAGTTGGATATATATGGTTAGGAGCATTGCCTTTCATGGTCCTCCCACCTTATTTTAATAGTGTGCAACAATGGTATAGGAATTAGACATGAGCAAAACTGCGATTCTCCAATCGCAATTGAAACTGCGATTGCGATTTTTAAGTCGCAGCGACTGTAACCTGCGACTGCGCTTTTAACTAGCTGTTGTACTAGCTGTGTATATATTTTAAGTTTTTTTAACATCTGTAACACATTATAGGTATTAAAACTTATATGTATATGGTGTGTAGGTATTAAAACATATTATATATGCTGCAACTGCTGTAACTACACATACCTACTCTTTTTACAGTTCTCAGTTATCTAATTCTTTATACAATTCTTAAAAAATCTAAAAGAATTATTTTTTTTTAATTGCTTACCCCTTTGTAAAAAAAAAGTTGCTTTTTCTAAATATGCAAAGGAGCCACCCTCGTTCCAATTTTTATCGGTTAACATTGAGATATGATTAAAAATATGACACGAAAAACAATAGACGCTCAAATCTATTTTTCCAAGGCATCTTAATTAAAAATTAGTGTTTTTAGCACAGCCATGACATTCTAGATTGAAATTTAAAATACGATTTTTTAAGCAAAAAATGTCAAAAGTTGCCATATTATATGCCATTCTATTCAGAGTGTCATTTTCTATCGAATAAAGTAAAAACATACCGAGGGTGTCATTTACAAGTCAAAAGTTGTAGTCATTTCCGGTGAAACGGGAAGTAGCCAAAAACAATTGTATACGTCAATCAATCCTAATTTATGCTATATTTGTATACTAACATACCAAATTTCTTTTTTTTTATCAGAAAAAAATAAAAAGGTTATAGAAGTCAACCACTCTTGAGAAACACCTGATATATTATGATCGTGGCCCTATAAAATAATACCTTCTCTATAAATAAATAATATCGGCGAGAAAATTCAGTCGCAGTTTACTATAAAATCCTTCAATAGACCCCAAAATTACATTCACAACAATATCTCAAATCGCAACTCCCAACCTAAAAATTCAACCTCGCAGATACCAGGTTATCACAGTCCTAGTTTACAAAATCACAATCGCAGCAAAATCACAAATCGCAGCAAAATCGCAAATCGCAACTATAGTAATAATTATTGCCTAAACTCGCAAATAGAAGAAATTGCAATCATCGCACTTTCCTATGAGAGCCAATCGCAGGTCGCGATTACGATTTTAAAATAGCTGCGATTGAATCGCAGTTTTCGATTTTTTGCTCATCTCTAATAGGAATTACTTAATACACTCTTTATCTTTCCAAAAAAATCCTTTATGGGTATTTCGCCACTGCACTGCAAGAAAATCTACAAAATAAAATAATTATTTTTTATAAACACTTCTGCGTTAAACCTAAACGGACGCTGCTTGTCAGAAGTTATGTTTACAGTAATACAAATTTGCCTAACAAAAACGTTCTGTTTTTTTTAACAGAACGTCAACGGTTTCTTGTAGACGTATCTGTTTTAAAAAAAGTAAAGTGTTCTCGAATAGTTGAATTTAAATATTTTAAATAGTTTTTTTCTTTATTCTTTGTATTTTTTTGCTTCCGACGACGGAAAAAGATAACTTTCCGAAACGTTAAGCATTTTTTTCTTTGTTAGGCAAATTTGTATTACTGTAAACATAACTTCTGAGAAGCAGCGTCCGTTTAGGTTTAACGCAGAAGTGTTTACAAAAAATAATTATTTTATTTTGTAGATTTTCTTGCAATGCAGTGGCGAAATACCCATAAAGGATTTTTTTGGAAAGATGAATCCGCCACATAGGTATAGACATTTTTTACACTCTTTATGTTTTGCAGGAAAATCTTACACAGAAGAACTTTTGGACAGGTGGATTCAGAGCCCCAATCCGGACGAACTAATGAAAGATCGTATCGATGACGTCGACGACCGTTGCTCTTGCCCCCTTTCAGTGACCGTCTCATCGAAGAATAGCTATCACAACTGGACGTTTTTGATCAAAACGAGAAAACCGCTGAAAGCCGTGGCTTTGCTACAGGACACCTACCGAACGCACTTCTATATATCGACGATTTTCGTGAAGAACGCCAAAGTTGAGTTGAAAAACGATCAGGAGTGGATATCGCCTCTGTGCCATCAGGAATCGTACGCTGTCGTGGAGTACCGGATAACGATAATGTTTAAGACGAACATTTTCGGAACGTTCAGGCAGACTGTGGTGTTCGATTTTTCGACCGAACCAGTTTTGGTAATTTAAAGTTTTTTAATTTTTTGAAATAACTATACAGGGTGCAAATGAGTAGTTGCGAAAAAAATTAGGTGATTGCTTTTAAAAAATAAGGGTATTTTCATAAAGGCATTTTCATATAAAATTCGAAATCAATTCTTATATAATCAATTTTCTAGTGCAACCAGTTTTTGAAATAAAATTGATATGATTTTTGTCCACCCTGTATAACCAAATAACTTTGCAGGAAGTCACATCAAAAAATTTTTATATGAATAAATTCCCGTATTTTTAAGAAGTAATAAAGTTCCTAATTTTTTTCGTATTTATTCATTAATTACTTAAATTAATTCTTATAATTTATATTGGGGTATTTACACCCTGTATAATTTTTGAAAATAATACTTCAAAGGTTGAATGAAAACATTTAAATTTTTATTTACTTTATCTAAAACAGAAATATAATTCAGAATACGGTCATAGAGATAAACAGTTCACAGATAATTTATGATTACTTAGAACTTGAATCAAAAAGAGGTATTGTTTAAATTTTTTATTTACGTTTGTATGTCTAGCAAAACCTTTTTTAATCTCTGAAAAACAATCGATTTTCAATTTTATTTATCTAACGGCACTTTTCTACTAAAGCATAGAGCTACCAAAGCAACATTGAAAGACATTTTTAGCACAAAATTTACACATTTTCTGTAAATTTACATTTATTTTTAGATTTACACTTTTTCAGTAAATTTACGCTTTTCTGTAAATTTACAGAAAACGTGTAACTTTCTGTAGATTTTACGCTTTTTTCTGTAAATTACACATTTTCTGTAAATTTGCACTTTTTCTGTATATTTACACTTTTTCTGTAAATTTTCGCTTTCTGTAAATTTAAACTTTTTCTGTAAATTTACGCTTTTCTGTAAATTTACACGTTTTCTGTAAACTGTCACTTTTTCTGTAAATTTACACTTTTTGTAGATTTTACACTTTTCTGTAAATTACAATTTTGCAGTAAGTTTACACTTTCTCTGTAAATTTACACTTTTTCTGTAAATTTACACTTTCTGTAAATTTTACACTTTTTTCTGTAAATTACACCTTTTCTGTAAATTTACACTTTTTCTGTAAATTTACACTTTCTGTAAATTTTTCACTTTTTTTCTGTAAATTTGTACTTTCTATAAATTTACAGATTTTCAGTAAATTTACAATTCACACAGAGAGACGTCGGCGTCGTCTTACAGGATAGAACATTTTGCATGCAATTTACAGAAAAAGTGTAAATTTAGAATTTACAGAAAAAATGGAAATTTATAGAAAAACTAAATTCTGCTAAAAATTTTATTTAACGTTGGTGTGGCAGCTTTACACTTTCGTATTTTCCTCTGTCTGTTTTGCTTTATTATATTTTAATTATAGCCCAGTTAAATGTTTTTTAAGAGCTCATTCAGAGTTTTATGCAAAAATTTCATAATGCGTCAGTACTATTCTTGAAAAATATACTGCATAGAATAAATGTATCAGACTTCTTTTCTCTCTCTCTCTCTCTCTTTCTCTCTCTTAAACACGTTTGAATTTCCATTAGAGTATCTCCATCATTATCTTACACATTGAAACTCAGACCACCGGTTTAGGTTAACCAGTTCTGTATACGGTTTTATTTTCATTTTTCTAGGTGAAACATTTATGCGTGGATCTGGTACCGGAATCGGAAGTGGAGAAAATCAACGAGATACGCAAAGAAATCACGCTCTCCATTGCGGAAAGGTGGACCGCTCACAATTCCGATATCGTGTCTTTCCAGTCCAGTCTGGTGAGCGGTTCTTCCAGCGAGGAATGGGAGAAGAAACTCAAGGCAATGTATCCGTGTCCTCAAGCGGATACATTTATTCTGTCTCACTCCACGATGATGGAAAGGAAATTTTCTCGAAGTGATTACAGGTAAATTTGACCCCAAATGTATAAGTTATGACAATTCATAGCAAAAATCAGCCACTGAATTCTATTTTCTTGAAGGATAACCCATATACCGGTATTTAATATGTAATCTTTCCAATTCCACCCTGTATTTCATAAATGAAACATGGTATGACAATTTGTTTGATACCGATATATATATATATATATATATATATATATATATATATATATATATATATATATATATATATATATATATATATATATATATATATATATATATATATATATATATATATATATATATATATATATTTCAAATCGCACATAAGTTTCAAAAGTAGCTAACATTGGCGAAAATCGCAATCCTTTATCTTCAGCGTTAAAGGAGATATCCACCCAATAAAGCAAAAATGAGACAGCCTGTATAACAAAAATACCGTTTTTCTTCCAGGGAGAGAATGCATGAGCTATTATTCGTGGAGGAAATGTCCAGGTACGACCTGATCGCCCAGTATAACCTCACGACGAAACTGCAGATAGCTCATAGCTACATCTTGTCGCCCAACAGCATGGCCGCCAGTACTGCAAAGTACTCGAACAACGGAGAGCTGTTCGCTTCTATAAATTTGGGAAAGGAACTATCGGAGGATACGTCTGAAGGAAGACTCATCCTGATGCAGTGTAATTCGGTGTATTTGTGCCCCACGACGGGAGCCACTGGATTGAGGAGGAAGGTTTACGAATGTCTGATAGAAGATAAAGGAAAGAATACGATTTATTTGAGGTAAGGCAGTGCCTATTATATGCCCCTCTGTTATCACGCATAAATTTTATATTGTTTTTAATTCATTTTCTATTCTTTCTAAGTTTTTAATTCTTTTTTTCTTAATTTTAGATTATCGAGCGATACTGTCAGAGAATTGAAGCTCACTCCCGATTCCGACATCGAGGTACAAATCCAGTTCCAGCTGAATCGCATTCCCTACTGCGAATGGCACTACATCCTAGACAAGATGGCCAATTTCAAGCTCATCTTTCCGGACACCTACCTGGAACCGGCCATTCCGTGGTCGCCTTCCAGACAGTGGTCCAGGAATCTGGATTCGCGGCTGAACATCAAGCAGAAAGAGGCGGTGGTGGCCATTACTACACCTTTGTGCATCCAGTTACCACCAATTCTAGTCATAGGTAAGTCTAACTCAAGTAGCATTTTTAGACACATAATCGAAACAAAATATCTGCTGAGAAACATTGCGAAACAGTTTCGTCACATAAATTGCTTTTTATTTCGAAACATTTTACAAAATATGGTTTCGCTACATAAGGTATAACAATAAAGATCTTAGTGTCACAAATTTTTCGAAACTTTTAAAAAACAAACGTGGCTCACATTTACAAAGGTTTCGTACCCGTGTTGTGCCTGAAAAGTTTCCATAATTTATTTGATATTCTGTCAAATATAAGAACATAACCTTAATTTAATTGTTTGGATTTTGTTCTGCAGTTTTCGCATTTAAGCATTCTTCAAGTTTTTCTAGTACTATAATTAAAAAAGCAGAAGGAAGGACATATGGTGAGTACAAATACAGATGTTTTTCTTATGCGATTTTATAATAATTTGTTATACACATTACAGAGATGATTTGTTTTAGGAATAAATGTATTAACAGCCACAACCCATACCCAAGAGAAATGTTAGCAGCAAACGTTTTTTTTTTCTCTTTTTTCCACAATGGAATACATGTTTTTATGTTTTAATGGGCTCTTTCACTATATTTTGGAATTAGCATAATTGAATAAAGCAATTAATTCTAGAATTTTCTGCTATCTCACTTTCGAAAAATTTGAAGTCGTTCTTAAGAAAATAAATAAAAACAAAAAAGCCCAGAATAAAAATCCGCACGTTGTTTTTAATACGTCACACCTGGCATGTTGAAAAGCGGCAACACGGCCGCGGCCGGGCCTCCATGCTGACCCACCACCACCTCCACACTTTCCAATGTGGCGGAGATAGAAGCGCTTTAGTTGGCGCGTATTATAAAACCTGTTTTATTTCCAAATAGACATTTTTCACACAAATGTCGGGTTAGATTACGTAATATTTCACTAATTTTTCATAGTTCTTCAATAAAATATTGGATATTCCCGAACAAGATGGATTTAATAATAAAATTCTGACGTATGGGGCAATTGTGATCTAAAAAAAGACTTACATCCAGGCCATTTATATTTTCAAATGTCAATGTTGTCAATATCTTTCTGTGATCTTTTTGATGTAAAAAGCTTGATTCTTCTTCCAATATTTTACTTATAGTGAGGTAAGTGTAACCAGTAGCCATAACTACATCCTCACTAGGGTAACAGAGGCTTTGGCCTTTGGCCTTTTTGAGGCATATTTAATGCAACTTCTTACCCGAGAACTGCTAGTAGGAGTGAAATTATCTCTTTTAATAGCTGTCAACCATTTTTTACGAAGCTCGACATTTTTGGGGAATATAAAAGCAGAAACCTTGGGACCCCCTCTATAATTCCCGTGACAATTTGGAACAGAGCATGTAAAAGGCATGCTACAATATAAAATGTTAATACCTACCCTTTAATATCTATCTTTTGATTATTGTAAGCAACCATTACAAAGTACTATGCAGACTGGCGGCGAAAGCTTTTTACTCATTTAGGTGTAATATCTTGATAAATACTTCTAGTTCTTACCTTAAAATAATTAATAATAGAGGAGTACGACAAGCACAAAAGTTTGAAGTTCCCTATGTGGAATGTCTGGTTTGGATTTTTATTACACTGTTATCACACTTTTCTGATCACACCATGTTCTGAATACTAAGAACTAAAGAAACGTGTTGCAGAAGCACAACAAACTAGAGATAATTAATTATTTCTGGTATGCAATCGGAACGAGAAACCACTACCGGCTTTTCAGGTTAAAGGTAAACAATTTAATAATGCGCTGCCTTCGCCGCCATATTTGCCTTGCCCATATCATGTTGATTAGCCTTGAGTAGAGGTGGTGCTGGTCAAATCAAATCGCAATGTTGCCAGTTGTTGGCTGGCGCACGAACACGGTTCTGCAATGTGATTGGTCGTATTTTTCATACGTCATCAATTGGCAGTTTAAAATTATTTCAAATTAAAGCAATTTTGAGGGCCTATAAAAAAATTATTCAATGTCATGGAACTATTTTTTTTTTAATAAATATACTGAAAATAGTCTTCTATTTCAGATTTTGGCCTTGAATTGGGTATTTTATTTTTTGTGAAAGAGCCCATTGTGTTATAATGAGTAAATAAAAATAAAAAATGTCTATACCTATGTGGCGGATTCATCTCTCCAAAAAAATCCTATATAGGTATTTCGCCACTGCACTACAAGAAAATCTACAAAATAAAATAGTTATTTTTTGTAAACACTTCTGCATTAAACCCAAACGGAAACTACTTGTCAGAAGTTATGTTTACTTCTTCTCTTTTTAAAGTGCCTTCTCCATTCAGTGAAGATCGGCAACAACCATGGCAAATTTCTCTCTATTTTTCGCTCTTCTCAGCAAAGTATGTGAGTCCAGGCCTGTCCAATCTCTGATGTTCTTCAGCCAGGAGCATTGCCGTCGTCCGGGTCCGCGCTTTCCCTCAATTTTACCCTCGATGATGAGCTGAAAGAATTCATACCTGCTAGAGATGAGCAAAACTGCGATTTTCCAATCTGCCAAACTGCGATTGTGATTTATAAATCGCTGCGACTGTAACCTGCGATTGCGATTTTGATATTTTTAAATTGGTACGCTGTAATCTGGGAAGCTCAATCCCAAAATTTCTAATAAAAAACAGAATAAATAGCGGAATAATTTTTTTTTAATAAGAAACTGTTGGGTGTTTCGATGCTATGTGCCTTTTAAAATTTGTAGTGCGTGTTTTTTATGATATTTTTGTTGCACACATATTGCACTTAAAATTTTCATCAATTACCTACCAAAAAAATCCACAAATAACTTAGTTTCTTTTTTTTAAACATTTTTTGATTAGAACAGACCGAATAAATTTAAAAGGGAAATTAAAAATACATAAAATGTTCAAAATATTCGAATGTGCTTTTAGAAAGTAGGTATACTAACGAAAATTTATTATAAAAAGGTTGCCGCCAACCTTAATTCAGATAACTAGAAAAAAACTGTTTATTTTATCTTGTTTTCTTTTAAAAACATTTTCTTTATATGTAACTCAAAAGAAGCCGACGCCGACGGCTTTGATACGGCCCGTCCAGTTCAAGTGCAAACTTTCGTACTTTTAGATAAATAAAAGGACAATATCACATTTTATTATATTTACAATTTCTCTAAAATGAAAAAACTGATTGTAAAGGATGTATTTAAATTAACATAGCAGCCGATCCACAACTGTTAGTATATTCAGAAAATTATATTATATTATGGATTGTTATAAAAATGTTTATAATAATATTATATATAACAAAATATAATAAATAAAAAGGGCTGTTTCTTTTCCGTGCTCTATATCTTCTAGTAAATAAAGGATAAAAATAGATAATTTTTTATAATTTGAATCAATCACATTTTACCTGAATCATTACCTGGGAGCAACTGTAACTATAATTAGTCATAACCGAAAACAAGAATTTTTTAACCTTCTCAATCCATAATTATATTATAAATCTGAAACTATTATCAAAATTTAAAACTAATAAATTATATATATTATGCGGTATATAAACATATAATAAGCCTATTTTCCATCGCTTCATAAAAATTACGGGGCCCTGATTGCGAATGTGATTTTGCGATCTAGTCTAGGCCGATGTGTTGGGTTGGGAGCTGCGAACGAAAATCGCAATCGCCGCTCTTCGTTGGCGTGCCCACTCCCGATGCCGCGCCGGTGCCAACGAAAATCGCAATCGCAATGCTGGGATGAGCTGCGATTTTCGTTCAGCTCCTCGTTCGCCTGTCCACTGCCGTGTTGAAGACGCGCCGCCGCCGGCAGGGCGTACGAGAATCGCAATATTGCGATTTTCGTTCGCAGCTCATCGTTCGGCTTCTCAGTGCCGTGTCGATGCAACGCCGGTGCGAACGAAAATCGCAATGCTGTGATTTTCGTTCGCAGCTCTTCGTTCGCGTGCCCACTGCGATTGCAAATCGCAACTGGTGTAATATTGGTTGCCTAAAAATCCAAAATCGGCAGATATATGTTTCAATCGCAAGTCGCAGTTTGCTATGGAAAGGAATCACAGGTTGCGATTGCGAATTTACAATCGCTGCGATTAAATCGCAGTTTGCGATTTTCTGCTCATCTCTAATACCTGCTATGTCTCATGATATGGCCCAAATAGGCTGCTTTCCTCTTTTTTATTATGTCGAGGAGTTCTCGGTCCTTGTTCATTTGGTTTAGAACTCGTTCATTCGAGACACGGTCAGTCCATGGTATTCTCAGCATCCTGCGATATACCCACATCTCAAATGCTTCCAACTTATTCATTGGGCTTACTTTGAGTGTCCACGACTCAACCCCGTAGAGAAGTGTGGAAAGTACGTAGCACTTGACGAAGTTGTCTTTTATATGGATGTTGAGACGTTTATCGCACAGTAGGTTCCGCAATTTTAGGAAGTTTGATCTAGCCATCTCAATTCGAGCTCTGATCTCAATGTCTGGGTTTAGGTCTTCACTAATCCAACTGCCCAAATATCTAAACTTTGAGACTCTTGCTATTGGTGTCCCACCTACGACTACCTCCGTTGCCTGTCTTGCATCTCTATTTATCACCATGACTTTTGTTTTGTTTGTATTTATCCTGAGACCCATTGAGTCGCCCACCGAGGACAGTCTATCAAGAAGTCTTTGCAGGCCCTCAGTGGTGTCTGCAATAACGACGGTATCATCAGCATATCTCATGTTGTTAATCAGCCTGCCATTCACTTTTATGCCGTCTTCTGATCCCTCAAGCGCATTTCGAAATATTAGTTCGGAGTACATAGTGAAGAGCATAGGGCTCAATACGCATCCTTGCCTAACTCCACGCTTGATAGGTATTGCTGTTGTTTCAGTGTCCTGTAGTTTTACTGTCGCTACTTGTTGCTCGTATAGCTTTTGGATAATTTTCAGATCTTGGGTATCCAGGCCTCTTCTTTCAAGGATGCTCAGCAATTCATTGTGGTTGACGCAGTCGAATGCCTTCGTGTAGTCTATGAAGCATAGGTGTACCTCCTTTCATTGATCTCTGCGCTTCTGCAAAAGCACCGATAGCGCAAACAGGGCTTCTCTCGTCCCCAGTCCCTCGCGAAATCCCATTTGCTGTTCACTTATGTCTAGCTCACATTTTCTTCGGATTCGATTATGCAGTTATGTTTACAGTTATACAAATTTGCCTAACAAAGAAAAAAAAGCTTAACGTTTCAGAAAGTCTATCTCTTTCCGTCGTCGGAAAAAAAAATACAAAGACTAAAGAAAAAAAAAACTATTTAAAATATTTAAATTCAAACTATTATTAGAACGCTTTAGTTTTTTTTAAAGCAGATACGTCTACAAGAAACCGTTGACGTTCTGTTAAAATGACATTATATCCAAGTTAAACTTCAAGATTAACAATTACTACCTGATAACAATTACTTAATAAGGTAAAACCAAAAAGCCCAAACTTTCTGTATGATTATTTTTAAATTTTACGTATGTTATGTTTATTTATGTTATGTTCTTTAAAATCAAAGAAGCGTAACATCTACAGATGCATAAGCAATACATTTATTTTTATTAGATTGTATTAAAAAAACCTCTTTTATTTTTCTTTTAGAGGCTATCGCTTCTTTCATTATAATTTTGGCGTTATCAAAATCTACTCTGTGCCCTGTGTCCCATGAATGACAAATCTTAGATTTGTGAAAATCTCCCTTTCTTAAATAATCTTTATGTTCTTTAATTCTAACATTTAAGGGTCTAGATGTTTCACCAATGTAAAATTTATCGCATTCACATGTCACATGGTATTTCGTATATTACATTTTTTGTTTGTTGTTCTGTATTCATTGGTTTAGTATGTGATAAAATAGATCTAAGTGTATTTTGTATTTTGAAAGATGTTCGTGTGTTATATTGCTTTCCTATCCTTCTAATTTTTTCCGAAAGACCTAGTATGTATAGAATTTTAAGTTGTATATATTGGGTATTGTTATCATTAAATAAAAATGTTTTAATTATTTTGACCAGAAGTTTTGATTGGCGTTGTTGACAGGTGACTAGTTCGAAATTTCTACACAGATAGCGCTAAATCGAAACATTTTGGAAACAAGGTTTCCATTTATTGTCGATTCATTTTCGAAACACGAATTCTTTTTAGACACAAATATGATATAATGTAGATGGTTTGTGTGGGACTCCATGTCATTTTTTATAAAATAATGAATTAAAATTCCGCCATGTTGTCTAGTTATAGCGTTTTTAACTAAAATTATACTTTTTATCGGCTGTTAGGTTAGGTTATGTTAGCTTTTAAACTCATAAGAACGCATTACAAATTACAACATTCTACTTACATTAATTTATATATTTTGATTTTCAGAACCATGATATAGAAATATAAATCTATATTTCAACAAAATATTCTGTAGCAACAAATAGTAATATTAACAACAATATTAGCAACAAATAATAATATAATATTAAAAATCTGAAAGTACATTATTATATTAAACGATGAATTTGCTTTTACCAGACATTTTTTGCGAGAGCAAACCTAAAAACAAAGTTCTTAAGACAAAAAAATTATGGCGGAGGTCGACATTGTTGATTGTTTTCGTTTTGAAATCCAGACACAGACATAAACTATTTTAGTTTGGTATTTTATTTCTTCACATTTAGAAACAGTGACTGCTGAGCACAGGAACATCTTGAACACAAATTGCAATTGTTTCGCAACATTTTCTCTAAAATTTTTGATTCGGCATCGAAACATTTCAGGAAACGGCTAGTGGCGCCATATTGGAAACGCACGTAATAAAGCCATATAAAATATACAGGTTTTGAAAATGTTTCCTATTTGTGCCATACCGTTTCTCCATTTTGTGTCAAGAAACAGACACGATTATTAGAAACATTACCTAAAATGTGTCCAAAAATGCTACTTGGGAAGTTATTTTAAGTAAGCCAGACTCATTTTAAGTAAATCTTAAGTAAGTCTAAGTCATTTTGTAGGTGAGGTTATAATAAGTTGAAGCTTTAGAAAACATATAATGTATTTGAGGAAACAGAAGAAATATGGCTTTAAATATAACCATTCACATCATATTATTTAGACTCCTCATATAAAGCAAAATTATTCATAATATCAATAGGTAGTTTATTAACGTAGTTTTCATGTAGTTAATGATCGGGAAAAGACGTAGTTTTTGAAGAAAAACTACACGTAGTTAATCAGGTAAACTACGTCATAATTAACTACTTCCGAACCCTGCATATAAAATATACAGGTTTTGAAAATGTTTCCTATTTGTGCCATACCGTTTCTCCATTTTGTGTCAAGAAACAGACACGATTATTAGAAACATTACCTAAAATGTGTCCAAAAATGCTACTTGGGAAGTTATTTTAAGTAAGCCAGACTCATTTTAAGTAAATCTTAAGTAAGTCTAAGTCATTTTGTGTTTAGTTAGAAATAATAATGATTTTTTATTGTCCTTTTCTTATTATTTAGGTCCATTTGGGACAGGAAAAACCTTTACACTGGCACAAGCCATACGCAATCTGATCAAAGACTCTTCGAACAGGATTTTGTTGTGCACACATTCAAACAGTGCAGCTGACCTGTACATCAAGGATTATTTGGACAAGTGGGTACAAGAAGGGGAGGAAAACGCCAGACCTTTGAGGATTTACTACCAGAAGAGATGGGTGGCGACAGTTAACAGTGTTGTGCAGAAGGTAAGTCTAAAAAGTGTTTTTTCTTATAATAAATGAGATGTTCTGGCATACAGAGAATGTACATACAGAAAACGACGTTATATTTATCCTGCTACTGAAAAAATAGAAAGGAAAGATTATACAAAAGACACTTGGCGAGCCGGCGATAGTGTTTCAATATGGCGGACTTGACATCCGGTTGATAAGTGACGTTCGATTTTTTGACTGATAAAAGTAAGGTACACACAGTAATTGGCTTGATTTGTTTGTATTACATGGATTAATAAAATTACAGTAAATAAATGTTTATAAAAGTTGGAATTTGATGAAATAAAAATATTTCAAATGAAAATAAACCAATCGTTATAAATATTTAATAATAAAAATACACCGGCGTTCTAAGAAGTTAATAAATTATCATTTTTTATTACTGAAATATTGAAAAAAGTTTGTTTCTTAAGCGTGCCAATAACAAAAGTAAAATTGACATATGTCATGTCACAACTGTGATGGCGGTGAATTACTAGAGTTTTGAACAATTTTTTCTATTTTATTTTTTTCGATATTTTATCACCTAACCCCACTTTTCGCATATATAAGGAGAATTTTCGTAGTTTAACCGCCACGACAGTTGACGCATGTCATTTGCCAATATTATTTATTTTGTTATTGGGCATAACTGAAGTAATTCCACATAACATTTTTTTCAATAACTCAATAATACCGTATGACCAAAAAAAATACGGTGTCCAGTTGGCTTAGAAATGACAATCGGTGACATTCCGCATATAACATTCCACATGGTTTGTGACAAACTTTTTGGCACACTCTGTATACATTACAAAAATGTAGCGAGACTCGGTCTCAGTTTGTACTCTAGGAGAAGATATTTTTATTTTACATAACATATGATTCATAAAATATTTTTTAGACGTACTGTATACCTACCGATTTGGTCATATAAGAAGTGTGGTTTGGATTTTAACGTGTAAGACAGAGAATAATATAAATGACCAGTTGACAGACAGAGAGACAAAATCAAAAGCGGCATCCAGTGTTGCCGGTTTTTACGTTTGTAGGAAAATTTGTGTAGAAAAAAACAATTTTAAAAACTTTCATCTATACTATACTACTGAAATGAAGATAATATATCTAAGTTAAATGTAATTTATTACATCTGTAGTAAAATAAAACTAATTGTGAAAAATAAGGTTCCAACCCTAGATGCAACATTTTCCATAAACGCCTACTTGTGCGGTTTGAACTTTTGATGCAAAATCCGGCAATACCGCATAGAAGAAATGGATCAACCCAACTTTTATCTCTTTTTAATACATTTGATTTTCCATTAAGTTGCCTACATCACTGTCTTACATGTTAAAATCCAGACCACACTCCTAAAATGATCAAATCGGTATACTATTATTTAATTAACTATGGCGCATTGTTTCAGTATTGCCTGATAGAAGTGAAAAACGGTATCCGATCGTTTTGCATTCCAACATTAGAAGACATCATGAAACACCGCATAATCGTCGTCACTTTCTCCACGTCCGTGTACCTGTCAGCCATGGGTCTCCCCTCCGGCTTCTTCACGCACATCCTCCTCGACGAGGCCGCCCAGGCCATCGAATGCGAAACCGTCACCCCCCTGGCCATCGCCAACGAGCACACGCGCCTCGTGCTCGCCGGAGACCACATGCAACTCGGGCCCGAAATCGTCTCAAACTTTGCCAAAGAACGAAACCTACACATATCGCTACTGGAACGGTTATATGACCACTATCCCAACCAGTTCCCATGTAAAATCCTGCTTTGCGAGAATTATCGGGCTCACGAAAGCATCATTCAGTTTACGTCCGAGTCGTTCTACGATCAGAAGCTGGTGTCTAGCAGTAAACAGCCGAAGCACTCGAAGTATTTTCCTTTGAGTTTCTTTACTACGAGGGGCGAGGATGTTCAGGATAAGAACTCAACGGCGTTTTACAATAATTCCGAAGTATACGAAGTTGTGGAGAGGGTGGCGGAACTGAAAAGAACGTGGCCGGAAGAGTGGGGGAAGTACACGGACCAGTCCATTGGCGTGGTGACGCCGTACGCCGATCAGGTGTTTCGGATACGGGCGGAACTGCGAAAACGACGAATAGATAACGTTTGCGTCGAACGCGTTTTGAACATACAGGGAAAACAGTTTCGAGCTATCATACTCTCGACGGTACGGACGAGGAAAACGTGTACGAACGACGCATCGTCCGAAGACCTAGATTACGGATTCCTATCGAATTCCAAACTCCTCAATACCGCCATTACTCGAGCTCAAAGTTTGGTGGCGGTGGTCGGCGATCCCATAGCGCTTTGTTCGCTCGGGCGGTGTAGTAAAGTATGGGAGAGGTTCATACAGATTTGTAACGAGAACGATAGTCTTTTCGGGATCACCTGGACCCAGTTGAAGCTTCAACTCGACTCGATCGAACTGAAGAAGATCTACACGCTAAACCCTCTCGCGCCGGAATTTATTCCTCGGAGCTACATTGCTCAGCCGATCGTAAATAATATCGCGCCTCCGACAATTCCATTGAAGGAAGTGCTGCCGCCGCCGGGAGGAATAGTAACGCCGCACGTGGTTCCGCCTTTCGGGATACCCTTTCCGCAGCTCATTTATCCCCCTCCTCAACCCAGACCGTTTCTTTTCAACCCTCTACCGGCGGGAATCGTACCACCACACGGATTTTCGCAAACGGTGAGGGTAGTGACGGCGCCTGCGCCGGCACCTGTACACAGACCGGCGCCGATACAGCCGCAGCCCTTGCCTAAAACGATCCATCCCCATCAGGTGGGGCTGGTTATATCAAAAACGTCGCCTCCGTTACCCAAACCTGTCATCCCTCCTTCCAGCAACAAACTTATTCAGTTTATGAATAACGTACACTTTCCCGAAGCCTCAGTTCTGAACGATTGCATAAACTTGCTCCCTCAAAACATGTCGTTGGCGGATATGCTGCTACAACCTCCCAGTCTACAGGAAAGGTGGTATAATTACCTCAAGGAAAGCACGGGAGAAGAGGCAGCGGAAAAATTCAAGTACCTCCTACATACAACAAACCAGAAAGGATCCAAGGTTCAGGATCGGTTAATATTTGATTGCGCCACACCTCAGTCGTGTGATTCGCCAACTTTCAACTGGTATGACAGCCCGAATAACCAGATTAACATCAACAAGTCGGTCTATATTCAGAGCGAGCACGTAAACGGTCAAGGTATAGCGCAGAACGGATTTCACAAACCACAGATTAACGAAGAGAGTAGGAAGAGTATAGTGGATTCGATGTTGGAACTGGACGAGATCGACTTGCAGAGGCACATCAATCGGGAGTTTGCGAATTTGAGCTTGAGGAACGGCGTCAACGAAGAAGAGGAGTTGTACAGGGCGTTCGAAAAGAGTTCCATCAAAGCGAGTTTGGGACTAAACGGAACTGCTGGTGTGGGTGTTCCGAGGTTCTACAAATATTTCCATTAGAAATGAGAAAAGGAAAGATCTGAAAAAAATCAAGTACAAAGAATATTTATCTCTCGAAATTACAGCCAGTAAAGTATAATATACAGGATGGCCCAGTGTTTCGAAAATGAAGTTCCATGCAAGTTATGTTGTTTGGGATATTTACTTAATACAGGGTGTTTCAAAAAACATGTGCCATCTCGCGTGGGGAGATCCCCCATATAAAAATAAGATCTATTTTTCATATAAACATAGGTCCGATTCTGCTTTGTTTCGTAGCTACAGGGTGTTAGTCTTAATATTTTTTCGATTTATTATAGTTTTCTTTTAAGTACTTTTAGCGTTTCAAATGAAATTTTGAGGGTAAAAGTTGCTATAAATGCGATATATTTTAAAGCTAAAAAAGTGTCGACATATTCACCAGGGAGGTGCGTATGGGTTATCACTGGAATATTTTTCTAAAAAAGGCATGCACGCCACTGACTTTTTTTCTTTTGTTAGCGAAATAGTGTGAGCAGTTTAATGCCGATTAAAAGTTGTTTATTGATATTTTGTCGATTTCGGCCTCCTTGATGAGATAAACGCAATTTTATTAATTTGCCTTGAACCAATGATATTAAATTTTTTTAAAGCAACCTTTAAAAAAATTTAATATCATTAACTTGCGAAAGTTTTAAATAAGTACTCATCGATTCCTCATTTAAAAATATGAAAAAAAGTTCCTATAATATGGAAATGCATCGTTTTAGAGTTACATGATGTTAAGACTTTAAAATTAGGTTTTTTGTATTTATCTTAAATATAATTATTTTTTATTTGAAATTGCTGTAGGTTGGATTAATACTAATAATAATAATAATATTTAATAATAAATTAGGTAAAATATATAATTTATTAATTTTAATTTTACTAATTGTGATTATAAAATTGCGTTTATCTCGTCAAGGATTGCCGAATTCGACAAAATATCAAGAGATAACTTTTAATTGGCATTAAACGGCCTGCACAATTTTAATATCAAAAGCAAAAAAGTCAGTGGTGCACGTTTTTTTTTTAAATATCCCATTGATAACCCATATGCACGTCCCTGATGAATTTATCGACACTTTTTTAGCATTAAAATATATCTTAAAGTAACTTTTGCCCTCAAAATTTCATTCGAATCACTAAAAGTACTTGGAAGAAAATTATAATAAATCGAAAGATTATTAAGGCTTTAACACCCTGTAGCTATGTAACAAAACAGAATCGGACACATTTAGAAAATATGTTCATCGTTTTCAAAACAAATGAAATTCTACTCTAACTAGGGTTCCCAACTTGAGCATCGGCCATTCCGGGACAATTATTTTTAAGTTTTTAAATAATTAAAACAAAACATTAAATATTAAAAATTCAAATATATTATATGTAAATGTGATTTTTTTGGTCCCGGCCAAGGCAAAATTTTCGTCGGGACAAACTTTCTGATTCCTGGTTAATCCCGGTTAAACCGGGACGGTTGGGAACCCTAACTCTAACCCTTGAGATAATCTATAAAAATTGTTTTAAATTTTGTTCTGCTATCATCTGAATATTTTAAAAAGTTGTAGTGAAAATCCCAAGTATCAAAACATGGTAAAATGCTACTTTGAAACACTAGATCATCCTGAATTCATCCTAGTTTTTCTTGAATATCTAAAAAAAGTATTATATGGATCTTGATGTTTTAAATTTTTGTTTATATTTAAAACTGAATAGGCTATTAGATGTATGTAGCTGTTAAATATCTAACAAGTATTATAACATAGTATATTTATGTTTCACATAAAACTGTAGTCATTTTAAATTGTATATTACAAACCTGTTATCTTTTGTAAATAGTTATATATAATTCTTGTTTTAGGTGTGGATGTTGTCTAGCTATTGTAGATTACACCTCTTAGGTCGTTTTTTACTTTGTTTTTATAATATATATACACTCTTAATGAAGAATTTATATACTACATGTACTTATATGTATTATTTAAAGCTAGTAATTAAAAGAAATATTACCTACTTATATTCTGTATTTTTTTAAAACACCTTTAAACTTAACATAAAAAATATGTTTATACTAAAATAATTTTGAGCACTATATAAAATATTCGAATCTGTAAATAAAATTTCAATACTGATCAATGTTTAAAAAGAAACACAGTTAAAAATGTGGGAGACAAACTTTTCCGGCGAAAAGTTCTGATATTACAGTAATCCACAAAGCTCCAACAAATAAAATGTACGAGATTCCTACTTGATGACTGTTTGGAAGTTGATATGGTTGTCCACCGATTTCATCTACGTGAAATCCCATTGGAAATATTACAGCGGCCAAGCAAAATAAAACCACTGCAAATAATTTTTGTTTGAGAGTTTTAAATTCTTATCTAAATAAGTAGTTTATACTTACTAGCTGTAAACCCTACCCATCTTGCATATGGGACAACATTTCTATCCCAATGTGACGAAGCAAGTAGTATAATGGTAGTCGTAATACATATACAGCCAACAAAAATACAAACTAATGCTAATAGCCATTCGGGTTGTAGATCGGGGGTAAAACAAACTTGTGGTCGATTGTAGAGAGTCATACAGGTCCACATTAAACCTAGCCTAGTGTCTCCTAAAGTTATTTACATTGTAAGGAGTAAGTGTAGTAAGAGTATTTTTTTAACTTACCACCGACATCTGTAACAATCCAATCTGGTCTGGCTAAACTTACTATTGCAAATATATCAGCCGTCATAAATAACGTTCCAGATATTAATGTTAGTTTATCCATTTCATTAATAAATAAATTTAATATTTGGAAATTGTTTTGATACTAACCAGAATCAGCTGATTTTGACTTTGACATATTTGTCTTCTCTTCTGAACAAATGGCGGCGATTCATCTTTTTTTCTTATCATAGAAAGTAAATTTACACAAGGTCGGCCTTGTGGTCGAAATGATTGCGCCGCATTCTAGTAGACGCAAGGTCGCCGGTTCGATTCCGGCCTCGGACATGGGTGTTAAATGTGTGTGTGAGTCTGTATTTGTCCAATTTTAAACGCTAATTAAATATTAAGAAATAAGCTGGCTGAATGTCGTAATAGATAAGTGGCCAAAAAAAAAAAAAAAAAAAAAAAAAAAAAAATTTACACAAGGATGATTTATCATATATAAAAACATTTGTTACGTAACAATTATCACTCTATGTCCTCTTGATGTTTTTATGATCTGCAATTTTTAAAAATTCAAAATCACGATTTTGAATTTTAAATTACCATTTTCCAAACTACATCTTCGGCTGCTTGAAAAGAAATGCGAGCTTTTGAATGTTCATGTTTTAAATATTTGACAAAAAAAAGTGGCGAAAAAGCTATTTTAAGATCTGTAAAAACTTGTTTTATTCAGTTAATGAATATAATAAAAGAAAATTATAAATTTACATTGTCTGAATTACTTATTTCTTCAAAATATTATCAATCCACAAATTCAGTTTGTCTTCATCTTGTAGTCCCACTAATCTTTCTTTAACTTTTCCATTTTGGAAAACCACTAGAGCTGGAATTGTGCTTACCTAAAAGCAAGTAAGCATTTATAAAAAATCTAGTTTGATATCTAAACAACAAACTTCATATTTAGCGGCTAGTTCGCCCAGATCGTCAATATCAACTTTAGCAACAGAAATGTCGCCTTTGCGTTGGGCAATTACATTTTCTAATCGAGGTTCCAAAGCTTTGCAGGGTCCACACCACCTAGAATAAGCTCCGTTAGAAGCGTTTTTATCTAATTACGTAAAATATACGTCGCAAAAAAGTCGACAATGACCGGTTCTTTGCTGTTTTCAACTTTATCAATAAAATCCTTGTCATCTTGTACTTTAAAAGAACCTGATTTCAATTGTGTAGTGGCCAAAGTTCTTCTTCCCAAAGCACCAAATTGTCTTGACAAACTGCGGGTTATTAAAGTATTCATTTTAAAACAACACACAAATTTTGTGACTATATTTGACTAGAAATAGTCGGTATTTAGAAAAATTATGACATTTATTTGACCATCACACACATGATAAGTTTCGCAACGATCGGATGAATATCGTATTTTTCATTTCATCTCACTGTCTTTTACTATTTTAAGTGCTGGAAAAAGATAAACAATAAACATCAATGATTATGATAGAACCAAGATAGAACATATGATGTGTTGTTTGATATGAATGTGAATATGAATATTTTTATATATGACACTTGTACATGCAAAACATAAAGGATCTGAGCAAGCCGAGTCATAGCTAATCATATTTTCAGTATTGTGATTACCACGACCACGATTGTGTCGTAAATTTATATGACAAATACATATGTGACTGTTTCGTCTTCGTCTATAAAATATAAACAAAGTGTTATGTGATTAATCCAGAGATTAATCTGCGTATGGTATGGTAATAGAAATATATATGTGGTAAATAAAAGTAGATGATACTGTGTGATACTGTCATACGGTTTATATAAGCGAAAGCATCAAACCTCTCGACCTGGATTTAGAGCAATCTAAAGATACTTATGTCAGAGGGAAACAAACAAGATTTTTTCGATACGTAAACGTCTAAATCTGACAGTTGAATAGAACAATTTTAATTCGCATTCCCCAAAAATTCATAAAGAAACATTAAATTTAAATGACAAATAACAATAAGCAATGAACGACGAAGATGAAATAATGTACGACGATTCCGGTAATGAAACTAGCGGAGACGATGTCGACTTTGATATAGAAGTGGACAACACTTCTAGTAAAGAGTTTCCTAGTTATGAGGATGAGTATCAGTATGAGGTTCTTTCTACTGATGACATTGTTATACACATGGTAGAATGTATTAAAGATGTTAATACAGTCGTTCAAATATCGTCTACCACCACTCGAATACTGCTGAACTTTTTCAACTGGGACAAGGAAAAGCTGATGGAGAAATTCTTTGATGGAAATCAAGAAGAGCTCTTTAAAGAAGCCAGAGTCGTTAACCCTTTTAAGAAAGTCAGTGTTGTGAAGCCAAAGATAGTTAACAAGCTTTTAGGTACAGAGGAATGCGAGATATGCTATGTGGTCTATCCTCCAGTGCAAATGACAGGTCTGGAATGCGGGCATAGATTCTGTACACAGTGCTGGAATGAATATTTGACCACGAAAGTTATGGAAGAAGGAGTGGGTCAAAGCATAGCTTGCCCAGCACACAATTGTCCTATATTAGTTGACGATCAGACAGCAATGAACTTTATTAAAGACCCGAGAGTTAAATTAAAATATCAGCATTTAATCACAAACAGTTTTGTGAAGTGCAATAGATTGCTGAGATGGTGTCCAAGTCCTGACTGCAACTATGCTATAAAAGTATGTCGGTATATTTTTTTAGTTATGTTTAGTTAATAATACTGATAATTTTAGGTAAATTATGTAGACACCAAACCAGTAACTTGCCAATGTGGCCACAAATTTTGTTTTAACTGTGGAGAAAATTGGCATGATCCAGTTAAGTGCACCCTGTTGAAGAAATGGCAAAAGAAATGCGATGATGACTCGGAAACCTCCAACTGGATAGCGGCTAATACAAAAGAATGCCCGAAATGTAATGCAACAATTGAGAAAGATGGTGGATGTAACCATATGGTTTGTAAGAACCAGAATTGTAAAGCAGACTTTTGTTGGGTCTGTTTAGGGCCTTGGGAACCACATGGAAGCTCTTGGTTAATATTAACCATTGAATGATATTTAAATTATTTTTTAATAATCTGTATTTTAGGTACAATTGTAATCGTTATGACGAAGATGAAGCAAAAGCGGCAAGGGATGCACAAGAGCAATCCAGGGCAGCACTACAAAGATACTTATTTTATTGTAACCGCTATATGAACCATATGCAATCCCTCAAATTTGAACACAAACTCTATGCAGCCATTAAAGACAAAATGGAAGAAATGCAACAGCACAACATGAGCTGGATCGAAGTACAATTCCTTAAAAAAGCAGTTGATATTTTGTGCCAATGTCGCCAAACATTGATGTATACGTACGTCTTTGCCTATTATTTGAAAAAGACAAATCAGTCTGTGATATTTGAAGAAAACCAAAAAGATTTGGAAAGAGCTACAGAATTATTGAGCGAGTACCTTGAACGTGATATCACACAAGAAAATTTGGTAGATATTAAACAAAAGGTACAAGATAAATATCGCTATTGCGATGGACGCCAAAAAGCGTTGTTAAGACACGTCCACGAAGGATATGAAAAGGATTGGTGGGTTTACAGCGAATAATTTTAGAAAATGTTCCAATTTTCTTTTTTCTTTTAATTTAATTGAATTAATATCTACCAAATTGTAATTTTATTTCTTTTTCTTGAAAATAAATATATTTCCTATTTTTTTTTATTATTATAAGAAATCCTTTAAACATAAAATTACTTTTTCCATTTAAAAATTTAAACAGGCTTATAATCTAACTTGCTTTCAAGTTTCTTGTTATCTGCTACTTTTCTAACTGCCTTCATAAAATCTTCTTGTATAACATATTCCCTTTCAGATCTTATAGCAAATAATCCTGCTTCAGTACACACATTTCTAAAAAAATGACATCATTAAAATGATATTTATTATTTTACTTATTTACCTCAAGTCAGCTCCGTTAAAGTTATCAGAGAGTTTTACAATTGCTTCATAATCAATTTCACCATGTTTAGCTATGGGGCCTGCATGAATTTTTAAAATTTCTAACCTAGCCTGTTCATTAGGCAGAGGAATTTCAATTTTACGATCTAATCTGCCAGGTCTAAGAAGTGCAGGATCTAATGTGTCAGGTCTGTTTGTGGCCATTATCATTTTTACCTAAACCATTAATTCAAAATAAAATAGATGCAAATAATAATAACAAAGCAGAAACTTACTTGTCCAAGTGAATCAAAACCGTCCATCTGATTCAGAAGCTCCATTAACGTACGTTGAATCTCTCTATCAGCAGATGTACCTTCAGAAAAACGTCGACCTCCAATAGCATCAATTTCATCCATAAATATGATACAGGGTTGATGATCTTTAGCATAGTTAAACATTTCTCTAATCAGCCTGGCCGATTCACCAATATACTTATCGACAATAGCACTAGAGACAACTTTCAAGAAATTTGCATCGAGTTGGGAGGCCACCGCCCTGGCAAGTAATGTTTTACCAGTGCCAGGAGGCCCATATAAAAGACAGCCTTTTGGAGGTGTAATACCAACTCTCATAAAAAGTTCTGGATTGAGGAGTGGCAGTTCAATAACTTCTCTTAGTTCACGGATTTGTTCTGATAATCCTCCAATAGCAGAATAGGTCACATCACCTGGATCCTCATGACTCATGTTGTATACTAGAGGATCAACTTCACGAGGAAGATACCTCATAATAGTTAAAGTAGTCATATCTAAGGCTACTCGAGTACCTGCTTTTAATTTGGCCTTGTCCAATTGCCTGCGACAGCCCACGACATAGCGGGGTCCGTTTGTTGCTTTTACAATAACTATAATACAAAAAATGTAAAAAAGTGTAAGTTTCTTTTAAAAACAAAAAAAAAGAAACTTACACTTCTCTTCTGTGAGCTGCTTTAGTACTTCACCGACAATTTGTCCCATACTTTGTAGAGCCTTTAAATCATTTTCTGATTTATCATACTGCTTTGTTAGATCTTTAAGTTGCTCTCGCACTAAAAAAGAAGTTTAAAAACCTCATAACGGAATTCAATTGATTTACCAACTTTCTTTTAAACGGGACTCCACTTCCTTATGCTCCATCAGTTTTTTCCTATAATCTTGTAGAGCTTTTTCACGTTCGGCTTCCATTTTTTTAAATATTAATATTTTTAGTTTTCGTAAAACAGAATTTCATACAAACTGATGACTAGCAAAACACGGGTTGACGTTGACATTTGACATTGTCAAAAAATTGTTTGATTTGGAATTAGATCTGCAATTATCGATAATAATGTAGTCGATAACTGACCGACAACACTAGTAGTATTGGTCACTTTCAAGGTCTTCCTTGAAGGTAGCCAATCACGCAAACAGAATGCATTTCGTAAATCGCAATTCGCAAGTGCATGAACTAGGCTTTAACAATTTCAAGATAAATACATAAATTGGTGGTAGAATTCATATCGACATGATTTTTGGATATAAACTTGAGGTAATGGTGTGGATCCGGTGGCTGACCTTGAAGCCCATATTTGCTGCATTTGATCACAGATACTACGCAAGCGCACAACGTCGACGTTGTCAAGTCGCAGATTATTTTCAAATTATTTTCAGTAGAAAACATATGTTTTTTGAGTGTTCAAATAAAGTAATAATACAAATTCTATGATTAATTTTATAATTTAAGATTTATCTTGATATCAAAAATTTAAGCAACAACGATAATAGAGACTTTGAAGTTAAGGTATTATGATTGTAATCGGAGTTATAAGTAATATTATCTCATTTATTTATATATTTGCATTAGAAGTAAAAATTGTAATATACGGATTTTTTCTTATTGATTTTAAACCTTTTAGAATTATATTTGTATTATCAATATGATGACATTTATTATATCCATGTTGTTTAACTTCTAGTTATTTACAGGCAACAATAGTTTTGATTATATGTATGGAAGTACCTACTACCATAACGAAGACCTAGGATACTTCAAATACCAATTTGATAATTTTTAAAGACATAAATTACAATGATAAAACTTAGTAAAGAGGTAACAGGGTACCTATTCTTACCCAATATGCTTTAATCTATGAGTCTTAAGGGGTGAGCAGTATTCCATCCCGTGATTGATATTCCAGGATAAGATTGAAGGACATAGAGGACATGGAATAAGGAGACCGCGCTCATGCCTGCGTAACATGAATCAGGGATTTGTATGATGCGAAAACATTGTTTGCATTGTTGCACTTACTTACAACAGTTGACCCAACGTACTATAGCATATTATGGGACATGAAGAATAGCATAATACATATCAATGAGATAGAGGTAACATTTTACCTAGTTTATCTATTATACCTACTATTTTACCTAGATTATAATGTTTGTATCATAATTTATTAAAAATATCAAGTTAGTGAATTAATAGTAGTAGTAGTATTAGTAATTGTAGGCATACTGTTTATCGAAGAATGCTGATAGGATTAAAATAAGCTTTATGTTTTATCTTTTACTCTTTAGAACGTAGATGGTTTATGTCGTAGAATACATAACAGTATTTAATATCCTGCAGTTTGATATTATTTTCTTACTTTACTGTAATTTCTTGTTTCCTGTAATTTCAAAATAAAATCTTAATAATATGGTGAAGGTTTTTTTTGAGCGTATTATTTTTTATAATATTTTTATGATATTTTTATGTCAATACTACATATTATGCTTTGTTTTGTGGAAAATAAATTTTAAGGTATCCTTATCCTTTGCTTATCCTTCTATTAGGAAAAATATAGTTTATACAATGTATATTTTTATATTTTAGATATGCTAAGAACATCACATAAATTCGATTTAAGAATAGAAAAATCTTTAGGTAGCAGAAATATTAATGCATGTCTAAGCAAGATTAAATAAGGTAATTATTAACGTTGCTGATTATAAACATGATATGGAACTACAGCATTTAAAAATTTTCAAAAAAAAAGAAGAAACTTTGACACACCCCTTTTAAATTTTTGAATTTTAATAAAGCACTTTTTAAACGATGCTTAATTCTAGAGTTTTATTTCAGTTTAATTTTATTGACGATGAAAATACCGTAGGATGAGGAAAAAAACGGCGTTTAGTTGCCTGGAAATGACGATTGATAACATTCTCCATATAGTATAATTTTACATACAAATAAAATACATACAAAAAATGGCAGCGATCTTCATTTCATAGCCATCGCTGACGCCGTTTTTATTCGATCATACGGTATATGTAGTATAAGGGTAGTATTAAGACATAAAAAATATCATAAAAATATTATAAAAAATAATATGCTCAAAACTCAACCTTCACCATATTGTCAAGATTTTATTTTGACATTACAGGAAACAAGAAATTACGGTAAAGTAAGAAAATAATATCGAACTGCAGGATATTAAATACTGTTATGTATTCTACGACATAAACCATCTACGTTCTAAAGAGCAAAAGATAAAACATAAAGCTTATTTTAATCATATCAGCATTCTTCAATAAACAATATGCCTACAATTATTAATACTACTACTACCAGAGACAACTACTACTATTAATTCCCTAACTTGATATTTTTAAGAAATTGTGACACAAACATAATCAAACTAGGTAAAATGTTACCTCTATCTCATTGACATGTATTGTGCTATAAGACTATGGTAGTATAGTTGTGGTATAGGTACTTCAATACATATAATCAAAGCTATTGTTGCCTGATGTACATAACTAGAAATTTAACAACTTTACGGGTACACCCTAATAGGTTTAAAACCAATAAGAAAAAATCCGTAAATGATAATCTTTAATTCTAATGTAAATATATAAATAAATGGTATTATATATTACCCTTGTGTATTACTTACAACTCAGATTACAATCATAATACCTTAATTTCAAAATGTCCATTATCGTTCTTGCTTTAATTTTTGAAATCATGGTAAATCTGAAATGATAAAATTAATCATAGATTTGTATTATTATTTTACATGAACAATGAAAAAAAATTTTTTGTTTTCTGCTGAAAATAATTCGAAATAACCTGCAATCTGGCAACATCGACGATGTGCGCATGCGTAGTAGCTGTGACTATATGCAGCAAAAATCCCTTTCAAGGTCAGCCACCGGATCCACACCATTACCAAACTTGATCTAATTTGAGATGGAAATATGTCGGAAAATTAAAAAATTGAATTTAAATTATCGATATCGAAAAACCAACTCTTAATTATCTCATATCTGTGGTGTAAAATGGTCTTCTTTATTTAATTTATAGCCTGTAGACTAGTCATATTAAAAATTGAAAAACTGATATTTTAACTAATACAAGTATTGAGGCTAAAAGGAATACAAGTTTGGGTAAAGGTGTGAATCCAGTAGCTGACCTTGAAGCCCATATTTGTTGCATTTGATCATCGATACTACGCAAGCGCACATCGTCGATGTTGCCAAATTGCAGTTTATTTTCGAATTATTTTCAGTTGAAAACAAATGTTTTTTGGAGTGTTATTAATCAATAATAATAATACAAATTCTATAATTAATTTTATAATTTCAGATTTTATCTTGATACCAAGGTTTAAAGTAAGAAAGATAATGGAGATTGTGAAGTTAAGGTTATGATTGTTATCGGAGTTCTAAATAATAATAGGGAGTTTTCGTTGCTTTAAACAAATTCAACGGTACGGTTAACGGATACGTAACCATAACCGCTATTTTGACAGATAAAAAAACAGTTTTCGGACTTTCGGTTCATCGGTTCGGAGCCGACATACGATACGACAACCGAAAACTGACAGCTGAGCACAGCCCGTAGCGTAGTGTTTTGATTTTTGGTTTTGTATTGTTGTTTGATTTGAAAGTGCTTTATATGCCTTTATTGGGTATCGCTATATAGGATGGACAATTTAATTTTATTGGACTCTAGTGATGAATCGGATTTGGAGGATGCTATGCTGTTGGAAGGGTTTGAAAACAACATCGAATATCGAGCAGAACTTTATGGGGAGTTCAACCTAGAAATATTATCTGAATTAGTTGAAGCACTAAGAATTCCCAACGAGTTTAACACAGATAAAATAAATAATCAAAACATAAACAAAATAGAATGAGGTTAGGTTAGATCTGTATTTTTCAATGTTGTGTTTCTACTGCGCTAGTGCGCATGCGTACCGCTATGTTAACGGCTTTGGCTAACGTCCGTAAAATATCGGCAGCTAGCGGTTACGATATACGATAATCGAAATTGAAATGTCAAAGTTGTCAATTAGCGTTAACCGGAATTGCAATTTGTAAGCAACGAAAACTCCCTAATAACCTTGTTTATGTATAGCTTAATAATCTAGAGCAATTAGATTAATTATAGCAACCTAGAGTTTTATTTCTATTTAATTTTATTAAATATAAAAATAAATAATAAGCGTTCACGTATTGTGTAAAATATTAAAATAATAATATAAATAATACCAATACCTATAATATCGGAAAATGATAAAAAAAATGGCGTCAGCGATTTTATATGTAAATTTATATGGGAAATGTCATCGATCGTCATTTCCCAGCTAACTGGACGCCTTTTCTTTCGATCATACATTATATTATATCAACAAAAAAAACGCTGAAAAACATTATTTTCTACTGTAAATAATTCCAAAATAACTTGCAATCTGGCAACATCGACGATGTACGCATGCGCAGTTCCTGTGACTATCTGCAGCAAAAACTCGTTTCAAGGTCAGCCACCGGATCCACACCTTACCTTTACCCTTAGATTAAGCCTTTACCCAAGTATTCTGTAAACTTTGACCCGAGTTTGAATTCTTAGGTATCTAGAGGTCTGTTCCCAGAAGAATCCCTGACTAGTCAGGGCGTTTCTTATTGGTTGAAATGCGTAGAAACCTGACTAACAATCAGGTTTCTACGCATTTTAACCAATTGAGAAACGTGCTGACTAGTCAGGGATTCTTCCACAGATTCTTCTGGGAACAGACCTTAGGACGTACAATGCGAATCAAGGTCAAAATTTTATCGTTATTTGGTATTTTATATATGATGTCATGATGTATATGATGTCATATTATATATAATATAAAATTAAAAATACTCTGTGGATAGTGGATAATAATATGATATATGATAATATAAAGGATAATATGAACAATGAAAACATGATGTTTTATTGGTTATCTGTATTAACTAACTTTATTGATTTATTGTTTAACTAATTTGTAATGTAAATATGATTTAAATTAATACATTGCTTTTAAAATGACTGAATCTAGTGAAAAGTTGGAGATTGATTCTAGGGACAACATACAAGTCGAATTTGCTGATGCATGTACTCTACCAAAACCTTCTGACGAACAAGAAAGTTTCCTCATTGAAAAATCACAAGAAGCACCTGTTTCTACTTCAAACCTTGATGAGGTAAAAGCTGAGGAAAATAATAAAAAATATAACGAAAAAAATGTACGCTATGAAGGCGATATTGCAATATATACGGACTTAGAATCCGGATATGAATATCAATGGGATACAGACAAGAATGAATGGGTGCCTCGTAGTAACGTAACTTACGAATACGAAGACGACACTCACGTTTACACTGATAAAGATGGCACTAAGTTTTTTTGGGACAGAGAGAAGAATGCTTGGTTTCCAAAAGTTGATGATGATTTTATGGCACATTATCAAATGAATTATGGGTTTAATAATCAAACCGACACAGAATCAAAAACTGTAGATTCCAAACTTTTAGATGCCCCTCCACCTACTGAATCAAAAATTAAGGGGGAAAAAAGGAAAGCTTCAGAACCAACTTGGTTTGAGGTAGATGAGAGCCAGAATACTAACGTGTATGTCTCAAATTTACCTTTAGATATTGAAGAACAGGAGTTTATTGATTTGATGCAAAAATGTGGCTTGGTGATGAGAGATCCAGTCACAGGTAAATTCAAGATTAAATTGTATAAAGAAACAAACACCGAAAACTTGAAAGGGGACGCCCTTTGTACTTACATAAAAATAGAATCTGTAGATCTGGCTTTAAGTGTGTTAGATGGTTATAATTATAAGGGACGCAAAATTAAAGTGGAGCGTGCTAAATTTCAGTTAAAAGGTGAATATGATCCGAAATTAAAACCAAAAATGAAGAAAAAGAAAGAAAAATTAAAACTAAAAAAACAACAGGAGAAATTATTCGATTGGAGACCCGAAAAGAAAATAGGTGATAGAGCAAAACATGAGAGAGTAGTGATAATCAAGAATCTTTTTGAACCTTCTCTGTTTGACCAAGATGTTGGTCTCATTTTAGAATTTCAGCAAGATTTGAGAGAGGAAGCTGGCAAAATAGGGGAAGTGAGAAAAGTAGTCATATATGACAGACATCCTGAGGGAGTAGCGCAAATATCAATGGCCCAGCCAGAAGAGGCTGATCAAGTGGTGGTGATGTTAAATGGAAGATGGTTTATGAAAAGGCAACTGACAGCAGAAATATGGGATGGAAAAACTAAGTTTAAAATTGCCGAAACAGATTCGCAAATAAGTCAAAGGCTAGATGGCTGGGATAAATATTTAGAAGGGGATGAAAAAAAAAGTGTAATTATTGTAAAAAAAACATTAAAATAAACAAAAGTATTATATTTTCAGAATTTGTTTTATTTCTTAAATACTCGACCCTATAATTTAAGAAATGTTGGTAAATGAGGTCAGTTATGTTACTTGTTTTTCTTACAAACTTTTTTATAACAGTTTAAAATTAATTGTATCAATCAAAACACCTTCGAATTAAAAAATACATAACATAGGTAACATTGTGCGCGTTCAATAATACAAAAAATGTATAAAAAAATTCACAGATATCGCACCATACGCAAGGATTCTATGTATTGAAAATATCTGACACAATATTTTGAAAAAAAATATTTTTTATAAATAATAATAAATAAATAATAGAGGTACAACTTGGGTACAACTTTAGTAAATGTCATATCTGCAATAATTTAAAAGTTATTTTGATTATAAGAGCAATAAAGAGCGGATGACAAAGACAATATAAGTTTCAAGATTCAAAGGTTTCAAGTCATAACAGTATTCTTATTGTTATGACTTGTTCAACTGTTCAAGTCATACAATATCTATTATTAATACCTGCAATTTATTCACTAATTTATGTTGGTCAATAACATTTTTTGTTTGTTAAATCACTATTAAATGCGTTGGAAGTTGGAAATGTATCAATATAACAAGTTTGTTAAATCAGATGTTAAATGCGTTGGAATTTTTTATATGATTCCTTAAATTTCGGATCCGCAAGAGATAAATAAAAATAATTGAGACATACGAGTACCTATCTGCAAACCTTATTTCTAAATGTATAACAATATTATCTAATATTTCATAAAATAAAATTCGCAAAGATATTTGACTTAGCTTGATTTTCATGCATCCGTTATCCGACGATACGATGATACGATATTAATTTTATTGGTGGAATTTAAAGACTTCGATTGGTTAAAAACGGTTAACCAATCATAGCCTTTAAATTCAACCAATAAAATTAATATCGTATTGTCGGACAACGGATGCATGAAAATCAAGCTTTAGCCGCTTTTATTAACATATCAAATTGAAATAGCACAGAGACTTTTCTGTAATATGTGTTGTATCGTCTTCATGCACCGAATAAAATAACGCGCTTTTTTATTTCGGATTCTTTTATTTCTGTGACTTGTTCTGGTTCTGAAATACAACCGGTTATATCATTTTTAATAATTTCGGACAAGCCCGAAAAATGTTTCCAATTTGTTTTAAACGTTTTTTGAATTTTCATATAAAAGTTTTAAATGCTACGTATAATCCTTGTGTATAATGAATCATATGAAATATCTCGCCTTAACGAAATGTGATATATCTCCTTATGAAATATCCGGAATATCCCCTTAACATCTAAAGCCTACCGAGCCTCCACGACTTCATGCGAAGGCGACCGGAGATTTCGCCTAAGCCCCGCCTTAATACGATACAACTACGACTTATGTCGCGTCGCTACCGCACGATGAGCTAGACAGAGACAGAAGACTAACCTACGTCGTGCATCGACTCTGATAGTAGGCGATGTAGAAATCGCCGAACAAAGGCACTCCAGAAGTGTCTAGTCCTAGCAGTCAACTATTAAGCCTGACCAATCAGGTTGGTTAGCGTGGTTATTTGGAGTGTGTTAATTCATTTGTGTTTGTCAAAAACTCTAACGTGATTGGTCGGGCTTAACAGTTGCCTGCTAGGGCTAGACACAAGTAGGCACTCCAACGGTCAAAATTATTTTGTTATCTCGCAGCTCGCAGCGGCAGCGGCATAGTCAGCGGTCAGCGTGTGCCAGCGGTAGTGAATATGTTAATATACAAGACCACAAATATTGATTTTTGTTGATTATTAAAATTCTTTTATTGACTATTAAAACACACTTCCATGTATTAACAGTATTTTTATGTATTGACAACATTAATAGTAAATAATGTAATGTATTAAATCGCTTAAATTCTGCCAAAATCTATGGGTAGACGCCGCCTACCTTGCCTACCCTGACGAGCCGCCACTGGTTTGCCTATTAAGAATAACTTTACTAGGTGAAAATAATTTTAGGGTTTTAGTTTACAATAATTATCGGAGTTTTTATATTAACTTTCAGTTTGGAAAAGGTATTAATTAATAAATGCATAATTAATTTTATGGATTATTATTATTAATGTTAATGGATAAAAACTTTTCGACCGCGGATTATTTTTTATTCATGTATCCTAACATTCCATCAATTTTTTTATTCCTTAATATTAATATCGTTGCGAAACCAGTCCCGCTTTAATATGACCTAGAAGAGCCTAGAAATTCGAGAACTCAGCGGCTAAGAATACTCCAGCATCGCCCAGAGCGTTCTAGACTCCGTCGCACGCATAGACTTAAAATAAAATATAGACTGAGCATCTCATTCATAAATAGCTGGAACATGCGGTCAGACACTGTATTGTTATTGTTGTGTTATTGTTTTAGGTTATAACGAGTGCGACACGAGCGATAGATAGGTTGTCTCTGTCGTAACGGTCGTTCCCTGACGACTCTGCCGAGAAACACAACACTGTCTTTCGTTTCTCAAGTACACCTGAACTCTCCGTATCATAGCCGGGTAATTTTTTTATTTTAATGAAGCTATAATTAAATTAAAAATATATCGTATTTAAACTTTTTTATATTTTATTAAGATTTAGGACAGGTTTTTTAAATAAAACTTTAGAAAAAACAATTTAGAGTCCAAAAAGGATAAAAAAAATAAAATACACATTATAGAAGAAATTTTATAATCGAAATTAGGTAATTTTTGAAATTAATAATAAATTATAAATTTTAGTCAAACATTTACAACCCCTAATATTAATCAAAACAGAATCTATTCCACAGATATAATAGAATCGGCGACAGGGAGAGAAAAAAAAATATGATTGTTGTAATTTTTTTTCTGGTTAAGTGATGTCTTAATATGTAAATTAGAGAAAACATAAATCTGTTCCATTAAAGCAAGGAAGGTGATAGGAAGTGGATAAAATAAAAACTACATTTATTTAACTCGGTACTGTCTTTATTATACCGGGTGCGTCTCAAAAGTGGCTCAACCCCATAATTTTTTTATATTTTCAAATAAAAAAACAAGATTTAGTATGTTAGTATATGAAATAAATTAGAATTGATTGACGCATTCAATTGTTTTTGGTCACTTCCTGTTTCACCGGAAATGACTATAACTTTTAATTTTTAAACGGCACCCTCGGTATATTTCTACTTTATTCGATAGAAAATGACACTCTAAATAGAATGACATATCATATGTCAACTTTTGACATTTTCGCATATGGTTTAATAGTAATTGTAACACGCGGTTCATAACGACAATTTGACTCGAAATACCAAGTGTGTGGTATCAATATATTCATAAAAAAATGTCTTTTCCAAATATGCTAATGAGTCACCCTTGTTCCATTTGAAAAAATTGACATATGTATGATTAAAAATACGATTTGTACATCTTTTAACCGGCCTAGATAAGACACGAAACCTATTAGACGATCAAAACTATTTTTCCAAGGCTCCTTGATTAAAACTTAGTGGATTGAAAAAAACTGGATTGAAATTTAAAATAGGATATGTTTTAAGCGACAATGTCAAAAGTTGACATATGATATGTCATTCTATTCAGAGTGTCATTTTTATCGAATAAAGTAGCAATATACCGAGGGTGCCTTTAAAAATCAAAAGATGTAATCATTTCGGTGAAACAGGAAGAGACCAAAAACAATTGAATACGTCAATAAATCCTAATTTATGTCATATACCTACTAACATACAAATCTGTTTTTTTATCTGAAAAATAAAAAAGTTATAGGGTTGAGCCACTTTTGAGACGACCCGGTATATTAAAAAATATTGTTTCATAATGTAATATCATTTTAAAATTCTTGTATGTTATTTTAGATTCTGAAGATAATTTTAGAATAAACCGGAATATATTTTTAATAAAAACATTAATTATTAACAGGGTTATAATTATGATTTTGTTACAATGTAAGTAAGTAAATAATGTAATGTAAAAGAAAAAATTCAGATTTTACATTTTACTAAAATATTATCTAAATAAACGCCTTTCTACAACAACGCCACTGACTGCCAATGGGTAAATTGAGAGTTTCCTACCGGTCAAAAGTCGTTTCAAGACTTAAATGGATTATTTAAGTCAAATTTCTTGCAAATTTGGCACTGGCGAACCATATTTTATAGTTTTTGAACAGAAAAAGTCAATAAAATAAACACTTAAGGACTAAAAGCTAAGAAAATGCGTTAATACAGCCGGGGAGATAGCGGCAACAAAGCTTTACCAAAGAGTAGATAAGACAAGAGACGACAGTGAACAAAGAAGTCGAATTTCGCGAGAGAGACGCAGATATATTAAAATTTAAAGGTCCCATCAAGTCCCATTTTGTCTGTTGCCAAGTATATTTCTTTGAAAAATAAACACGATTTTCTGAAAATAAATTAATAATATAAGAAGGATATAAGTACCGTATGTTAATACGGATATGTAAATTTTTAGTTTAGGTTGGTTTAGGTTCTTTTTTCGCAATGTACTGATAATATCAAAGAAACAGAATGGCTAAAGTTGATCGATTTCAAAGATAAACAGATAAAATCTGAAAATCTGACAACGGCGTATTTTATCTAATCTATCCTCGATCTATCCTATGATTTTAGGACGCTAATCACTTTAATCAGCTGTGCTAATCAGGCTTAAACATAAACAAATTTAATTAGTTGTTTTCTGGCATTTTCGCTTTTTTAAAGTGTGTTTTCAGAGTTTTTCGATATATCATCGTTTTGAGAGTTTTTAAGGTTTAATTTTAGTATCGTTTTTGTTGCGTACTAATTTGTAAATATTGTTAAATATGAATACTGAACAGGACACGAGTAGTAGGAAAAGACGAGATGGTGGCAATGTGTGTGCTTATAAAGACTGCAAAAATAGGTCTTATTCTTCGACAAACATAATATTTCACTCTTTTCCAAAGGATCCTGAAAAGTATTTTTATAGAAATATACTATATA